TTGCCCTGAGTGTACACAATCACACTTCCATCAATACAATAACTTGATTTGATCGTTCTGTTTGTATGACAACTATTGATATATGGTACGCTAAATTGATCCGATATCGGCGATTCAGACAAATAAGCAGCTTCTGAGAAGAAAAGGACGTGTACAAAATTTCAGATCGATACCTCAACAACTGTGGGACTGGTTCGCGTATATACAGACGGACGGAGGAATAGATAGACGGACATTTCTAAATTGACTCAGCTCGTCATGCTGATCATTTATATAGACAATAGGGTCTCCGACGTTTCTTGCTGGGTATTAAAAACTTCATGACAAACATAATATACCCAGTTCAAGGTGTAAATATTTGAGAGTTTACATTTAAGTCAGCACCCATAGTTGTAAACATCTTAATATTTTGTTGTTGCATCAAATTATATTAGCATTTCTGATTCACTTGATTTAGCAAATAAAAAGCTATTTAACAAATACTTTATATTTTCTTATTGTACAACTTATTATTATCATCGTTATCGCCAACTTATTTCTATGGCAAATTTACAAGCTATGCGTTTTTAATTTCCGCTTTCGATCGCTGTTCGCTTTTCGCGCTCATCGTATATAAGCGCCCGCATGAGCTCATTTAATTTTTGCTTCTTCATTTATTGTTTTTGTTTTCTTCTCCATTTTACTTGTTTCCTATTTATCATTTACTCACATCGTAGGTGTGGTGGTACCGTTATAAATGTATGTATACTATCTGCAGCCGTGTGCGGTAACAACAAGTCCAATTTGTTGCCTTTTTTGCAAAACTACAAGAAGTAGCGGAAGAATCTCGAAAAGTCAATAAAATGTGGTTCACGCTCCACAACTGTAATGCAATCTCCAGCAAATATGTGATAGCAATTAGCTGCTTTTTTCGCTGTACATTATAAATACAAATGTATGTATGTACATAAATACATATATACGTACAAATAGACATACATACATATAATGCGAATAAATACCGCTGGAAAAGCTCGTGAGGGCGTGATAAAAATATGTGCTACAAACGTCTAATATTGATAAAAATGCTAACGAGCTACCATATGTACCTACATGCACACATACTAGTTATGTATCAGAGCCCTAAGCAACAGCTACAACTCCGTACAATATATCAGTTTCAGATGTGTTGTAATTAAAAACGCTTCGTATGTTAGACGTTGAACACTTTTCAATTACTCACTTCTGCAGATTCTTTAAAGCTCGTGCAATATTTACCATGTACCTATATATGTACATATGTATGTGTGAGTGTTGGAGTTCATCGGCATGTTTTCATCAGGGAAATTTTTGTAGATGTCTAAGCTGTTTTCATGTCATTGTGAGTCGATGATTCATCTCACACGTACAAATTGTTAGAAAAAACAGCGTAACTGTAAAATAAAACAGGAAAAAAACGTTAATTTCGGCACCGAAGCTATAATACCCTTCACAAATACAATGGTTCCTTACAAGAACTTGATTCCGATATTTCAATTTGTATGGCAGCTACATGATATAGCGATCTGATCTAAACAATTTCTTCGGATAATACATTGTGGCTTCAAATAGAAACTCGTGCCAAATTTCGTGAAGATACTTTGTCAAATGAAAAAGTTTTCCATACCAGCACTTTACTCCGATTGTTCAGTTAATATGGCAGCTATATGCTATAGTCATTCGATCTATACAATTTCTTCGGATATTATATTCTTGCCTTAAATAAGAAAGAGTTTGCCATACATGTTGATCATTTTTGTATATATGTATTTTATAGGGTCTCCGCCGTTTCCTTATGTGTGTTACGAACTTCGTGGCAAACTTAACATACCTTGTTCAGGGTATAATTAAGTCTGAAGTAATCAGGTAGGATACCCCGTTTACCCCGCGCAAATCGGAAACGAGTTGTCATGTTGCGTTCTAGTAGAATGTATGAGATCTACTGTATCGAAAGATTTCTTTCTGGTCATTGACCAATAGGCATTCATGCCCTAAGGCTGAAAATCCAGTCGAACTCAAATTGTCAAAGTTGGAAGGAAGAAGGGGAGGTGGAAACATTTAGATACTTTCCAACTTTTGCAACACTGAGGTTGTAAAATCTCCGCAGTCATACCAGTAAGTCAGTGAACCAGGAAACATAGCCGAAACTAGCATTAGTCGCCTCAACAAATTTTTGATCTCGGCTCAAAGCGCTTCGTAGATTTATGAAGGTCTTCATTATAATTTTAAAGGAGTTCTACGTACCACAACGGACCGGCGTTATAAGCTATCCAAGTAGGTTCCCTATTAGCATCGAACATATAACCTAACCTAACCTAACAATATATAAAATCTATTTGCTAGTGGTAGATATTGTAGTTTAGTTTAGCTTACTTTAGTAATTGTAGTTAGATATTAAAATTAACGTTTGGTACATAAATTCATACATGAAGTTCAAAAATATAGTGATTAGGGTAATATCGTGTACTTGCCACGTGCCTGAAACTATTAAGATGTTAACTCATGTGGACTCATTTTGATACGATTATTAAGAGTAGTCCATTTAGCTTCAATCAATATTATAGCATTTGACAGCTGCCAAAATACTTTGATTTTAGTTGTGACAACTTTTGTGCCATTAAAAGGTCAATAATTGCTCCTTGTAGCAGCATAACAAAATTCTAAGGTCTTTGTCAAAAATAATAGGGGAAATGAGCGCTCATTCTGACCTAATAGATGTTTGCTTCATTTCGGTATCAAAGTATGTGTTTGAATCGTCAAGGATTGTAAGGCAACTGACAATATTATAAAATATGAAATTTTCGGACTTGGTTGTTATACTATCGCAACTTGTTGCTATAGATTATAATAGTTTTGTTCACCTAACGGTTGTTTGTATCACCTAAAACTAATCGAGTTAGATATAGGGTTATATATATATATAAATGATCAGGATGAAGAGACGAGTTGAAGTCCGGGTGACTGTCTGTCCGTCCGCCCGTCCGTCCGTGCTAGCTGTAACTTGAGCAAACATTGAGATATATTTATTAAACTTGATACACATATTTCTTAGTACAGTAAGACGGTTGGTATTGCAGATGGGCGTAATCGGATGACTGCCACGCCCACAAAACGCCATGAATCAAAAACAAATAAATTGCCATAACTACGCTCTACAATAAGATACAAGACTGATTCTTGGTATGTAGGATCACATTAGAGAGGGGAGTCTGCAATTTTAATTTTTTTTAAGTGGGCGTGGTCCCGCCCCCTTATAGATTTATTGTGCATATCTCCTAAGCCGCTAAAGCTATAATAACAATATTTATTGAGAGAAAATGGGTGAAATTGGGTGACAACCCCGCACACTCCCCATATAACGGTACTGTTAAAAACTACTCAAAGCGCGATAAATCAAGCACTAAACACGCCAGAGACATAAAATTCCAAATTCGGTATATAATATTCTACTCATATTTCTATATTATAGTGCGAATATGGTCGAAATCGGATTACAACCACTCCTATTTCCCATATAACACTATTTAAAATTCCATCTGATTTTTTCACTTTCCGTGAATAATGCTTTTAATGTATGCCACCTTGTGACAAAAATTGTCTAAATCGAACCAAAACTGTTCAAGCCCCTAGGTACTGAATATGTGGACTCCACATGTAATTTTGAAGAGACGCGGTTCCTATAAAGTCGTCTCATACCATCCCAGAGATAAAATTTTATGTCTCTGGCGAGCTTAGTGCTTGATTTATCGCGCTTTTAGTAGTTTTTAACAGTACCGTTATATGGGGAGTGGTCGGAGTTGCCACCCGATTTCAACTATTTTCACACCGTCAATGTAATTGCTAAAAACATTTGCTTCCAGTGAATTTTGTTATTATAGCATTAGCGGTTTAGGAGATATGCACATTAAACCTATTAGAGGCGGGACCACGCCCACTTAAAAAAAATTTTAACTGCAGATGCCCCTCCCTAATGTGATCCTGTGTACCAAATAAGCTTAGTTATGGCAATTTATTTGTTTTTGATTAATGGCGTTTTGTGGGCGTGGCAGTGGTCCGATTACGCTCATCTGCAATACCAACCGTCTCACGGTACTAAGAAACATGTCTACCAAGTTTTATAAAGATAACTCAATTTTTACTCAAGTTACAGCTTGCACGGACGGACAGACAGTCACCCGGATTTCAACTCGTCTCTTCATCCTGATCATTTATATATATATAACCCTATATCTAACTCGATTAGTTTTAGGTGATACAAACAACCGTTAGGTGAACAAATCTATTATACTCCGTAGCAACAAGTTGCGAGAGTATAAAAATTGTAAATATATGTATATATAATAGGGTGGAGCGAAAAAAAATTTTTTTTTTGTTTGATTAGGCTGAGGGTAAAATCTGTAGATTATAAAAAGAGAAAACTTTTGGACAAAAAAATTTTTTTTTTAACATCTACTCAGTTTTAACGTAAATTTTCGAGTAAAATTTTTTCATTATTGGAGTTTTAAAAAAAAATTTTTAAAGGACAACATGTTTTCCTTAAGCGTTTAAATAAATTTTGAGTCAAAAACCGTCACATTCGGTAGATTTTATATAAATGTAAAGAATTTAAACGAAAAATAATTTTTTCTTATCCAAAAAAACTATAATATAATATATAATCTCCAAAAAACCATAAAAACTTTAAATTCTAACAACAAATTTGTACGCTAAACAAAGTGTATTAAGTTTGTCACGAAGTGTGTAACACCCAGACGTAACGACTCACAAAATTACCGAGCGTGCTTTTGCAAGTAAATTACGGACCTACGTAGTACAACCCCTACAATCCACATAAATTCTTATAAAGAAATGTTGATTTATATAAAATAACTGAAAGCATCTCTACTCTAGACTTTATTATATAAATAATATATTTCCATTATATTAATAATTTTTTAAAATGTTATAAATATATATTTATTTGTTATTTTCTTGAATTGCAGATTATCGTTGAACGTTTAAAAATAAATATACACATTGGATTCGTAATTATAAATCTGATAAGAAACATTAAAAGGTATGGCAAAAAATAATTAAAAGTTATTGGCATTTTTACAACATTTGAAAAGAACACCATGACCACCCTACTGTCACAACTCTATTGTACATATTTATGTTACAATATATAAATGCATGTGAACTTTTATATAATATATGAAGTTATCAAAACTATTTTTTATGAAAAATTTTATACAATATGTATTAAAAAACTACTATATCGAAGCCATTTACCGTTAAATATTTCATTTATGTATATATGTATTTTATACTTATAGGCATGTGTGTCCCGTACGTATTATTTTTAATTCATTTACCATAATCTGCTTATAGTGAAATTTCAGTCGAATTCATTTGCCTTAATTACTTTTTCCTTTCAGCATTAAAAAGTGTGAATGCAATTTTCACTTTAACGCCAAATTAATAATCACTGAATTGTTAATTAATATTGAATAAACGCACCAATAATGTCATTTTACTTGGTGAATTTAATGAATGAGTACACAAATAACTTATTTCTCTAAATGAATTCGGGAAAAACAAAAAAAGGAAGGGCTAATCTTAAGTGTAACCGTACGCTTGATGCTCTCGCAAAGATCAAAGCCGGGAAAATACTTTCAATTGAAATTCAACATTCATTATTTGACGAAAGAGTGAAAAGAATATAATCATCTAAAATACTGAATAAAGTCAGCTAAAGTTTACAATGAGTAGCGCTATTTGATTGAAAAAAGGGCAACGAAAAAATTTAAAGGAAGATATTAAGAGATCACAGTAATTCACTTAATGCACCAAGGGAATCGCATGTAAAATTTGGCTTGCATTCACTTGTTCATTGTTTGTACATAGATACCGATATTTATTAGTATGCAGTATGCACGATTCGTACTGGCCGCTAAGGGGTACACCTCTTTCGGGACCACGCCCAGTCAGGAGTATCGTCCCAAGTTGGACTTGCGGCGCAGTACGCCTACGTACTAAACCCTGAACTCCGTCACCTGCAGCTTTGGTGAAAGACCCTGCGGTACCGCCGTTAGGCATTTTATCGCAGGGTCAGCTTAGCCTTTTGGCTCACGTCATTTGTTCGCTATTCGCGGCTCAAGCTTCACTGCTTCTCTGTCTATCGGCTCTTCTCAGCTCTTGGATTATCAGAGCTGTCGTCTTTTCCATAATGCTCCATACATGTCTCGATTCCAACATATAAGGCACTATATTATCTGGAGTTATTTGGTCTGCCACTTCTTTTTCCAGATTTCGTCTTTCTTTTGAAAATTGTGGGCAGTGAAAAAAAATATGCATTGCATTTTCGATGATACCACAAAAGGAGCAAGCGACTCCATTGTCATGTCCGTACTTATGCAAGTACTCTCGGAAACACCCATGCCCTGTTAGGAACTGCGTCATATAGAAGTCAGTTTCTCCATGTTTTCTTTCTATCCATGCTTGTACATTACCAATTAATCTCCCATCTCCCCTTGACTGATGCGTCCCAGCGATTCTGCCATTCTTGTGTGCTGGCTTGTCTTTCCTCTTTGCGCTCTGCCAATGCCATTATATCTGGTGGCATTATTTCTGATATAATGCTAACAGCTTCATGTGACACCGTACGAAATAGACTGACGGTTCTGATGGCACTCAACCGGCATACCGTTTCTGCCATTCTGGCGTATGTTTTTTTGTATTAATGCTGGTCCCCATGCAGGTACGGCATACATTATGATTGACTAGCTAACCTTAGCCATGAGCGCTCTGCTGCTCTGTTTTGGTCCTCCAATGTTGGCCATTATTCTGTTTAGGGCCGCATTCACACTGGCGGCTTTTTCGCAGACTTTCTCGATATGGACTTAATAACTTAGTCGTGCGTCTATCATTACCCCCAGATACTTCAAAGATGTTTGTGTCGAGATGTTATGCCCATCTATACTAAGAGAAATCGTCTCGAGTTTTTTTCTGCTTGTAATAAGCACTGCAGTTTTTTGTTCCGCAAGTTGAAGTTTTACGCTTGCTAGCCACTGCTTTATCTGTTGTACTGTATCACTAAATATATTTTGGATTTGGTGTAGTTCTTTAGCTACTATTGTCACTGCAATGTCGTCGGCATATCCGATTATCTTTACTCCTTTAGGCAACGAGAGACGCAGTATGCATACAGTACGTTCCACAGGATCGGACCCAATACGGAGCCTTGTGGTACCCCACCCGTGACTTTATATTTTTTTGGTCCGTCTTCTGTTTCATAGAGCAGCAGCCTGTCAGTGCCTCTTGTTTTCTAGTGATTGCAGTATATGGGGCCAGCTGGCCGAATTAAACGCGTTTTTTACATCGAAAGTAATGACAGCGCAGTATTGCTTTTTGCCGTACATTCACCTATCTCCTTCAATGGCTTTTTCTGCTATCTCTGTCAGCTTCTTGATTGCATCAACGGTTGAGCGTTTTCTGCGAAAACCATATTGGTTGTCGGATAGGCTGCAAGTTTCCCTTTCCAGGTGATCTTCTAAGCGGGCGCAGATTAGTCGCTCCAGGATTTTTTTCATTGTACCGATCATGCAGAGTGGTCGATAAGAGCTCGGTTCCCCATTTTCCATATCCAAGCATCGTGTATATAACGCCGTGAATGGATTTGTGTTAAGTTTTACTGCGAGTTTAAGAGCCCTGTTTGGAATACCATCCAGTCCTGGCGCTTTAGAATTTCCGAACCGCTCCACCGCTTGTAGTACTTCCATGTCATTGACCTCTGGCGCATCTGTGGCTTCTGGCTCTTCAAGGCTTAGAGCTCTACTTTCTTGGTTTTGTGTAGGAAACAGTGTGTACCTTTTGGAGTAATGAGGAAGAGGTAGGTGCTGGCCCTTTGCCCCCTCCAAACCTTGACATTACGATTTTATACACTTCGCCCCAGGGGTTCTCGTCTACTTTGTCACATAGAGCTTTGAGCAGGCATTTTTGCTCTGTCTTATCGCCTTTTTTAGCTTGCTTCGTTTTTTCTTGAAAATGTCACGGAGTACCGTATATTCGCCTTTTCCTTGGTTCCGCTGACATAGGCGCCATGCTTTGTGACAATCGCTTCTCAGTATTTCGATTTCACTGTTCCACCAATATGCCGGCTTTCTCCGAGCAGTATGTTTCTTTTTGATCATGGCGGCATCGCAAGCTTTAGTAATATGATGAACCAGAAGTTTGGCCTGCTGGTCTACGTCATTAGTTTCATTGAGGTTTTCGTCAAGAATAAATTGGAAAACATCCTCGTCCAGTGTTCCGATCCTCCATCCTTTGGCCTGTATTTTTTGTTGGCAGATGTTCCTTCTTGGCCGTTCCATGTCCTTGTTGATATTTATCACGTCAGCCACGTCCTTTCTTCTCAAAAGTGTTTTGTGTCCCTTTGTTCAACAGTACAACGTCTAGCAGACCGAAGGCTTTGGGCAATGTACTGCCTCTGCGGTTAGTGGCTCTGCTTCCCCATTCTAGAGCCCAGACATTAAAGTCCCCTGCAATTATGTTAGGTGTGGTTGTCATTGCTTCTTTCACAACTTCGTCCAGTATTTTTTCGTAGTCAGTATGCGATATACTTGGCGGTATGTAGCAACTGTAAAAATAAATCCTACATATTTTATCCCGAGTGAAGTACGCATTTTGCGTGAGTGGTTTGTCTTGTATCACTTTATCTCCACATGCCCATATTGCAACCTTATTGGTGGTATCTGAGATCCACGTGTTAGTGCCTTTATTTTTATATTGTTCACAAATTATTGCTACGTCAATATTGTTTTCATACGCCGTTTGCGTTAAGAGATCCTGAGCTGCCTCGCAGTGGTTCAAGTTTATTTGCAGGATCTTCACTTCTTAGTTTTACTACATGCTGCTGTGAAGATGGGGCATCTTCGGCTTCCTATTTGGTGGTCAGTGTTCGTTCTCCCACTGTTTTTTTCACGCAGTACAAAAAGGTTTGTTAGTACAAGTTTAGGACCGGTGGCCCGCTTCTCCGCATTTAAAACAGCACTGACTCCTGTCTTCCGTATTGTTGCATGCTTTCGCCATGTGTCCATATTCCAAGCATCTAAAACATTTTCTCAGTTGTGGCTTTTCTCTCATTCTGCATACTGTCCAGCCGATCTTTATCTTTTGCGCCTGCAATAGATATTTTGCTTCTTGCACCGGAAGATTTATCATTGCTTTTTGGGTACCTGCATAGGCCGCTCTGATGCTTTTTATTGAAGTGTCGTTGAAAAGACTAAACTCTTTAATTTGAAGACGGATCGCATCTGCAATATCCTCTTTCGTAGTGATATCGTCCATGTCACTCACCTCCACTGTTGTCTCCTGTTGCAGTGTTCTAATTTGCGCCTGGTCGCCTAGTATTTTTCCTATGTCCTCCTTGTATCCTTCAGTGCTTCCTGTTTGTGTCTTCTTTAGTTCATGCAAAATCTCTCCTTTGGCTGTCTTCTTGTGTGTTTGTACACATATGTATGCACATGCTCACTTTACAGATTTATCTAACTTTATCAACTGCATAAAGACTTATTTAGATGTTAAATTACGTTTATCACGTTTTGTAAATCCTCAATAATTTTGATATATTTTTTTTATTCTAATGTTTTCCCCTATAGAAATAAAGATAAATTGAATCGTAACAATAATATAAATAAATTTCTTAACTTAAATTCAAATCTGTCACTAACTATCCTCTTGCTTTGTTTCTGATAACAAAACCAATATAATCTTATTTCGAAAGTCAAACCAATAATATCTGAATTCGTGACTACATTTTTTTATTTCGATAAAATGAAAACAGCAACAATAATTGGATAAGGTTATGTGTCTCTTAAAATATTAATATTTCCGTCTCACCCTAATGTAAAAATGTAGCACTTTATTTCATCCCTATTCATATTAACTGCCATACTTGCATGTACATAACATATGCTTCTACTTTTCACCAGATATTTTCTTCATCACCACAGACCCCACTCGCTGTCTTGTGAAACCTCGGTATTAAAACGTGCTCTGCACAATTAAGTCACAAGA